CCTAGCCTCAGATTTCTTTGGGAGGAGGGTTGTGAAACTGTTGTCTGTGTATATGTGCTGTATAGTGTTATAAAGCCTAACCGCCTTCTTGCTGTGTGCCAGAATCTGGTGAGGGAGACTCGTACTAATTATTGAGCCGCATTTACTCTCCTTCTGTGTCTTCTAGACTCATTAGAGAGGACAAGTAGGGCAGTCATTGAGTGGAAGACCAGTGACAGCATGGCTACTGATGCAAACTAATGTTAACACGTTGTCACTCTTTTGTTTACACATATCTGTTGGATGTGTAATGTTTTCTAGATCTATTATGTGGCTCAGCTGTATTGGCTTACTAATTTAGATTGAAAGTTTCTTGGGTCAAAGCCCAGGTCTTCCTTTATGATTTACTCAGTGCTGAGCAAATAAATAAACCAGCATAAAGACATAAATCATGTGCACAGCAATGTAAATCACTCGTATCAAAGAGTAACAGAGTAAAATGTTCAAGAGAGTTTGGAAAAGAAATGTGCTCTATTAAGTGGGTAAGAAACAAAAGTAGAAGCCAAAATTCCTGGGTTCTTTTTCCCAGCACTGCCAATGTTATATTGTTTAACCTAAGGTAGAAGTGTTTCAAATAATTTCATAGGACTGAGCATCTAAAAAAATTACCAGATAAAGGAGGAGAATGTTGTCTTCAATAGCATTGCGTCTTTTTGAAGTATCTGAGCACAATCTATTTAATAACTAATGATGATAACTCTGCAGCCCTTATTCAGAGAAACTCCTATTGAAGGCAATGTGAGTACTAAATCCTGAGTCCTGCTTATGCACCTGTTAGTACTGTAAGCCCCTTACAGCAAGTATTATGCTTCCACAGCAGCACAATTGATCTGTGGAATGATTTAATATATGGTGGAAGGAAGGTCAAAGGGCTCTGAATGTGACCTACGAGCAGGTGGTACAGGACTGCTCAGGGGAAGAGTTAGGATTTTTGTGCAGATTACCTCCCCAGTGCCCCTGAAAAATATTCCTCAGCCCTTGCCCTTCTCTTCTTTCCCATGCACAGGGAGAGTGAGGCTCCCATATACATCTGCTACTTTGGGGGTGGAAATGGAAGGGCTTATTGGGAGGCTGTTTTCTTCCCTCTCTGAATACTAGAAAATAAAATGAGTTAGACCCTATTCCACCCATAGATGACAGCTCCATTACTTGCCTTGGGCTACATTGCCAGTCAGTCTCCGCAGAATACTAATGGACAGGAATGAACCCACCTTCTTATTGGGATGCTGAGGAAGAATTCTGGATGCTCAATACCTCCTCGCATCATCATTCAGGCCCCGGATGAGGTAGAGGAGAAGACTGGGCATCTGCAAAAATCTTATGCAATCACCCTGAAACAGTGGAAGGAGGCTCCAGGATTTCATTAGGCCTCTCCAGCTGTGGAGCCCAGCCAACGACAATTCCAGTGAGCTCTCTGTTATGGAAACAAGTAAGGCCAGGATTGACTCCGAGTCAGTGCTGCAGGATTGGGTCCAAATTGGGTTTTGCATGTGTGAGCACTGCAGAATGTAGTCCTAGCTTGGTAGAAAGTAAAAACATCTTCCAAGTACGTACACTATTTACTCACAAATTAGGAAGTGACGTAGTGGGGGGGGGGGGGGAAGGGGGAAGAAGGGAGCTTCTTGCCAACATACCTGTTTCTGATCAAGAAATCAGATCCAAGTCCTTGCTGATTCTTGCATCATGCCACTTATTCCAGTGGTGCTGTCTAAACTTTTAAAAACTGCTGTAATCCCAATATCACCACATGAATAGTAGAATCTGGTCTCACTTCAGATTAAAGGCTCCTGCTTCCACTGAAATCAATGGCAAAACTCCAAATGACTTCAATAGAGCAGAAGTTAGTGCTATGTCACACTTGAGTGATGATATTTATTATATTTAATGGAAAGCAAACTGCATATTCTTTGTGTTATTATGATATACACCTCTACCCCGATATAACGCGACCCGATATAACACGAATTCGGATATAACGGGGTAAAGCGGTGCTCCAGGGGGGCGGGGCTGCGTACTCCGGAAGATCAAAGCAAGTTTGATATAATGCAGTTTCATCTATAACACGGTAAGATTTTTTTGGCTCCCAAGGACAGCGTTATATCAGAGTAGAGGTGTGCATCCCACATGCATTATACATAATATGAAGTCATTTAAAATTTGTTCAGTCCTGAAAACCTTATGTGCACGTAACATTAAAAAATCAATGCAGAGTTTGCCTGACCCTGACTCTGCAGACCCTGGTATTTATTAATGGTCTTCTATATTTGTTCTTGAAAAAACCAACCACTATATAATGCTTCTCAAACAAATCCAGAAGTTTATTGGAGCAAGTTTATACATTTTAAATAAGCAATTATTTCATCATTGGTTGAAAATAGGAAGAAGAAGAAATTGTTCATTAGCACATGAAAATCTTACCCTACCATTAACTTCAACCAACTATTAAGAAGCACTTTTGTATCTGTACAAAAGAACACATTAATTTTCACTTTGAAAAAAAATGTTTTTAAGCAAAAGAAGAAACTCAAAGTAATAATTACAAAACGTTTGGAATCTCAAATACTGTCCTATGCAGTTTTACCAAATCAGTCACAAGAACTACATAGCACTTATGAAATACAGCTGCATGGGAAATCACCAAAATGTAGGCATAGATTTTGTAGCATACTTGGAAAACAACTAAAAGACTCTGCTAACATTTTGAGCCATAATTTATTTATATTTCATTGCCCAACTTCTTTCATTAAGATTATTTCAAAATTTTTATTTGTCTTATCTATTTTAATGTATATCATTATAGAAAAATTCAGGCTAATAACCTTTGATAAAAATACTATAAGCACACCTAGTTGGATAGATGTCATGTACAAAGATAGTAATATTAACAAAAACATAAAAATTAGTCAAAGAATAGCATCTTCATATGAGACATGCAACCTAAATATGTATCTGATGCTTATGCAGTATACACTGTGTGTATATACACATTTTACACACACACACAGTCCCCCAATACATACATCTATAGATGTGGACCAAATTTTATCAACAGGTTCACACAAATGTACATAAAACATATAGATATGAGTAAATGTGTGTTAAACCTTTGGTCCTTTAGAGTTTTAAATGCACATAAAAAACTCATAAAAAGTACAATGTACCACTTTAATGCTCTATGCTTTTTCCCCATATTTTTGTTCCTGAAGAAATAGCTATTATTTTCTATGGGGCTAGAATTGTATGAAATCACTCTTCTCTTTGTCAGGACATAGTCTGCCCTCATTCTTTGCACAAAACAGTTATTGAAATGGATGGGAGCTCTATTAGTACTATGGAGGCAGAATATAGCCTAATTAGAATGCAGTTCCAATTATTTCTACTATTTCCCCATTGGATTCTTAGAGGGATATTGGGCCCAATATCGCTCTGAATGAAAAGCGTATTTAGGGTCGACGTGCCCAATATTTAACTAGCCAAACAATAACTAGGGATCCAATCTTATTAAATCCCAAATCCTCTTTATAGTGACCTACCAACAAGAAACAGGGGGAGTTGGTTTCTGAACATAGGTATGAGCATGCATGTGTTGCAAGTATATTTATAAATATACCACTGCTCTTCCACTCTGCTTGACTTTTCATTCTCAAGAGCATGCTAGAAATTCAAATAGGAGTCCTGCATATCACCAGCAAAATTATTGAAAACTTCCATACCTGATGTGCTCAAAAGGATGGCGCAGACAGGTAGAACAGCATGACAGTGTGATAGATGTGCCTGCAAAACCACACTAAAATGATAGGTCTCATTTGAGGCTCACTAGCCTCCATGTTGTCATTTTAAGAGATTCGTAGGACTTCTAACAAACAGCAAAATTTGTTCAAGGAGCTTCAAAACCAAGCTTTCAGGACAATGTGTTATTAAAGTACTCAGATGCTGTAGGAATAACTCAGAGCAAAGCATAAGCTGTAGTGGGATACTGGCACACTTTAAGAGTAGTTATGATTATAAATTATGGTTAGATGTCAGCACACTTCAGTTGGCAACCACGATGCACTTAAAGTCTATGTAGTCACATGAATGCCCCTTCACATCTTTGCATTCAGTGAGCAATTCATTTAGGATTGCCAAAAAGCTGCAATCCTTGCATGTTCTCAGAACAACTGTAAGATTAGCTCTGAAATTCACATCTTGGAATGCTTGACCCTGAAGCTGCTAGACAATAGTGTCATTCCATTGAACTCAGTGGGACTGTTTGCATAAGTAAGGACAAATTGTGGATTGCAAGGATTGGGCCCTAGCTGTCCTATCAAGAAAACAAAACAAGAGCAGTTTCTACTCTTAAACCAGATGGGTTTTTTGTATTGGTGTTGGTCTGGTTGTGGCTTTCAGTAGCACTTTACCAAGAGCTGGGGGGAAACTAAGTTTGACTTGTAATGTTTTTGTCACTCTGTCTCTGCTTTTTGATTAAAAAGCAGGTGCTTGATCCAGCATCTAATGAAAAAAATCCATCAATATCTGTGGGAGCAGGAGCCAGCCCCAAAAATCCAGTCGTGAAGTCCATACCTAGACACCAGGGCTGGCTCCAGGCACCAGCCCACCAAGCATGTGCTTGGGGCGCCGCCTGGAGGGGGGCGGCGTGGCGGGGCCCCGGCCGGGCTCACTGCCCTCCCCCCGGCGCTCCAGCTGGTCAGGGAGAGCGGAGAGCCACGGCGGGCTCGCCACCCTCCCACCGGCCAGTCAGGGAGAGCGGAGAGCCGCGGCGGGCTCACCACCCTCTCCCCCGGCGCTCTGGCCGCCGGAGGCTCTCCGCCCTGCTCCCGGCGCTCTGGCCGCCGGGGAGAGCG